AACATCAAGGGGAAACAGGAGGCCCACTTCTCCCTGATCCACTATGCAGGCACCGTGGACTACAACATCCTGGGCTGGCTAGAAAAGAACAAAGACCCGCTCAATGAAACAGTGGTGGGCCTGTACCAGAAGTCTTCCCTCAAGCTCATGGCCACACTCTTCTCCTCCTATGCTTCCGCCGATACTGGTAAGGGGGAAGCCCCTGAGCTGGATCAGGGAACTTCTGTAGGTGCAGGATCCAGAGGCAGGCAGGGGGAGCCTGTGAGTCAGGAGAGCCCACTGCTGGCCATCTATACCTCCTCCCTGCAGTACCTCCCATTTTCTACCTTGCATTATGGATATGGATGCACATGTCTGTTTCTTCAAGACTGTGAGCAACAGGGGGTCAGCAAAGGTAGCACATTCGTCACCGTCACCTGCCCACCATAGAGCCATGTATGCAGGACTTTTCAATACACATTCAGACAATCACTGAACAAATGGCAGGAAAAAATGAGCCTCCAGTTCAGAGGAAGAAGAGAAGTAGTGTGGACTGAAATGAGGAGGAAGTATAAGGAGAAAAGTAGAAAGAGGGACGACATAAGAATGAAGGATAGGGCTAAAAAGAAGAACAAAGAGTCACCGATATTATTTCAATACCTACTGGAGAGCTGCTTTACATACTTAGTCCCATCCGATCTGCTTTCCAGCTTTTAGTGGCAGTTACTTTCATCCTCTGGAAAGCTGAGCCTTGGAGAATAGCTGGTGGAAACCCCACAGCTACTGAGTACCAGAGTCTTGCCCCTACCCCAGGACTCCTCGGTATTCAAGCTCATGTTCATCTTTCCTTCTCTTGTTATTAGGGGACAGTGGTAAAGCCAAAGGAGGCAAGAAAAAAGGCTCATCCTTCCAGACAGTGTCTGCTCTCCACCGGGTAAGGATGGTCAGAGATTCCATATCTGTGGTGGGTAAGCCTAGAGCCACCCTATCCTGATGCTCTGAATCTAGAGGCAAAAGAAGCTAGAGCTATGTGGTCACTTTGGTGTTAAAATTCTACACAAGGTCAGGCATGGTAGCCCATGTTTGTAATCCCACCACTTGGGAGGCTGAGGAAGGAGGATCACCAGGAGTTTGAGGCCTGCCTGGGCTACATAGTGACACCCTGTCTCAAGAGAGAAAGAAAGAAAGAAAGAAAGAAAGAAAGAAAGAAAGAAAGAAAGAAAGAAAGAAAGAAAGAAAGAAGAAGAAAGAAAGAAAATTCTACACAAGTGTGAACTCACATAATAAATTATGTTAACCCTCTGTCCCTTTGATGGTTCTGGCGACAGGGTGTCTGGGTCCCAGGGCTAAGGAACCCAAGGGAAGGTCCTTGTGGCTACTAACTCCTTATCTTCATCCATCTCCAGGAAAATCTGAATAAGCTGATGACCAACCTGAGGACTACCCACCCTCACTTTGTGCGCTGCATCATACCCAATGAACGGAAGGCTCCAGGTGGACCACAGGGAAGCCTTTAGTCTGGGAGGGGGTGCACGGTATCCATTTACCCTGAGACTGACCCTGTCCCTTCCCCTTCCCCACAGGGGTGATGGACAATCCCCTGGTGATGCACCAGCTGCGTTGCAACGGCGTGCTGGAGGGTATCCGCATCTGCAGGAAGGGCTTCCCCAACCGCATCCTCTACGG